ATAAGAACAAACCCCTATTCTCTTTAAATTCACCCAGTCTCATGTATTTCTATTAGCAATTGAAAAATGGACTAAGATAATTAGCATTTGTTAATTCAATAATAAACTCAACACATTAAGATGAATACAATGCTTTCAGTGAAAAATGACCAAAAAAAAAAAAAGAAAAATGACAAAAATTCAAATTAGAGATGGCATCATTTCAGATCTCTTAATAGAAGACAGTCTTATATTTGCTTTTGTGGTCAATGAGTTGATTACGGTACACGAAGAATATCTGGCCTCAGAGGTGTGTACCTAGAAAAGGAAGTATTTCTATAACCTTTTCATTCAACTATGTTCTTTGATAATTTAAGGGAGATTTTTTTTTTTTTTTTGCTGTAGGGTGCACGCACTTGCTGGAGAGACAGAAAGCAGAAAATCACCCCCTGGGGGGAAAGCCACGTCGCAATCCCTTCTCCTCCATTTTTCTCTCAGGATATTGGGCACACACGCACACACACGTGCCTGAAGTGAGTTTCAAGCCACCAGATCCAGGACTTGAACCATGGTCGACTATGTGCAAGCCCAGTGACATAACCATTATGCCATCTGCTGCTGGTTCCTGTTCCTTGATAATTTCTAATAAATTAGTTGCACTATGTAATCTAATACCAAACCAACAAACTTTTCATACTGTTACATTTGAAAAATTAGTTGACAGAACTATATTAAGATAATCTAAATGTTGCCATTAAATAGTGGCATTCATAAATATCACAACTGATTTCTTCATAAAAATCTTTATTGTGAATCTGAGAGGCTACTGGTAGTAGATACTAGTTTTCCAAAGTTTTCATTTTTTCCTCTAAAGCTCAAACTTTATTATCTTCAACAATACTTGGTTGTTTTGCTTGATATGAGCGGCTCATTTCATTCATTTTTGTGAAAATGTTGAACACAAACCCAAGTTTGAATAACCAGTTTGTCAGTTCTTTCAAATAAAAAAGTTCCATAAACAATCATCTAGTCCAGTTTGCTATTCAAATAATCACACAAGTGCCTTTCCTTGAGAAACTGCTAGACTTCAGGGTGCCGAGTGCGTTGTGCAGTACTTCCCATCACACAAAATATTTAAAAGATGTGTACTATTAAGGTTAGGATGGCAAAAATCTATGAGGCTAACCTAATCATACTAATTTTTGCTGCCAGGCAAGCTCTGCAGCACAGTGGTAACGAACCACTCAAGAGAAGCAAATATCACATATGGTGACAACAGACTCCCAGCCCAGTCAGTCTGGAACATGTGGCATACAGGAAAGTGCCCAAGATCAGATGGGCTGGAGGACTAGAGGAAGGATGGTGGTGTGACCAGACCCTGTGAAGGGTGCTCATCTCTTTCACCATCTCTTCTTTCATGTGCATAAGCACAAGTTCTATCATGAGTTAAGAAAAGTAAAAAAAAAAAAAAAAAAGTTTTCCCCATATAGTCAAGAACATTAAGTGAAACTATTTTTAAAAAACTAAGTTTATTTTTATGTTTGTTTTTGGTAGATAACATTTATCTGGTTAAGGGAGGTAGACTCCACATGGCTGACCACAGTTCAAATCCCAGCCCCAGCAGCCTGAAAAATATACCAGGCATGTGTATGCATGCCCCAAATCCCAAGAGGATGGATAAATGGAGGAGAAGGGATTGTGGTGTGACCATCCCGCATGGCGGAGTACTTTCTCCCCTAAGAACACACACCCTCTCATGATTAAAAGTTCCCATTATTTTTAGCTTTCAAGAGATGTTTCAAATCATAAATACGTATTAAACATAAGACTGTATTTTAAAAGCGAGCAAATTGGCCAGAAGTGTAAATATCACTTTGTGTAGTACAAAATAAACCCTGTTAAATGGGATTTGGCAATTCGAGGCCAATCTGCACAACTGATTTACCATTAGAAAATGTCTTCTTCAGGGCCAGCTGGAGGCATGGTGGTTCACATGGCTAACTGCATGTTTCAATTCTCAGACCCAGCAGCTTGAAAAGACACCACATGCATGAGTATGCATGCCCAAAGTCCTGAAAGGTGGGAGGGATGGAGAAGGATTGCAGCATGACCATCCCTCATGGGGAGTGCTATTCCACTCTCTGAAGAACGCACACATCTTATGGCAAAAATCTAAAAATAAAACAATTTTTAAAGAAAAAAATATTTCCTTTATCAGAGGTTTGTGACAAATACACTTACTGAGAAAATGCAACCCCATATTTAGAGTATGACTAAATACAACTCATTAACTGTATATACATCAAATCACCAAAGACAAAAAAATTAAAAATAAAGTATACCTTTTACTTATATATCACAATCTTTTTTGAAAAATAAGATTTTCAGAAGTCACCATGAACAGTTTAAGATGTAAATCTTGAAAAGAATCAATTATATACACTGTTGAAAGTTGTTTCATATTTTATTTTCTAGTTGCAGAGGCTTATGTCGGATTTCTTTACATCATTCCAATTGATGGGAAAGAAAACCTCCAAATTAGTCATAATTAATTAGCTATCATAAATCTATAGTAAAAGGACAGAAATGGACTCACTGAAGACTAATGAAGTATTTACCAGAGCTGTCAATATTAATAATTATAAACTTTCTCTAAAGTACAGGACAGTTGGTATTTTGTAAAATATCTTCAAGCAATTTAGAAACTTCAATCTGTTAGTCTTATGTTAAATGAGGTTGGTAGCAATTACTTTAAATACCATTAAGCAAAAGAAACAGTTTATAGAGAATATAGAAGACATGCATAATCCATCTTACAGTCCTAATTATCAAGTAAAAAGCGGTGGACATTGCTCTAAGTGCATTATGTGTATAAATTTCTAAAAATATTGATCCTCCCAACAATTCTATAAGGCAGGTACTGCTCTCATCATCCCCATCTCATTATGAGTAAGGACCCTGAAGCTGATGTAAGTTGGAGGTGACTAGATCACCTTTCTTATGGGTGAAAGGTAAAGTGTGGGTTGGGAACAGGCCAACTAACTTCAGGGCCCATGCTCTTCCCTCTCCAGCAAACTGCCTCATAGGTACCTGGCAGCTGGGTTGGGGTTCGGGGAAGAGGGGTCAGGGCCCAATATACTCTCCAAATTGCTCAGTTCATTCTCTACCTAGTGTCTAGTATCTTTCTGCATTTTTCCTAAGACTTCATTCAGATTCTGCATGTTTCTGAGTAGTTAAGAAAAAAAGCAAGGATATAAAAGATGGTGGTTTAAGGGAACACAAAATGTGCAGAAGTTCATGGAGTTTAAACTATAAATGATGCTTATCCTTACTAAGCAAGATAAACACATTATCATTAAAAATGCTTTTAATCTTTATGACAGGTAGAACTCCCAAAGAACCTCATGTTCATTCTGGTATTCTAAACTGTCAAATCATAGTCAATACTGGATGTTGTTTAAATCTGTACACGATACAAATACAGTATAAATCTAGCTAAGTATTTTATTCAAAGCATGCTTTTACCTATTTAAATTACTCAGAGTTACTCTGAAGTCAATATCGACAGCAGTTTATATCTATTAAAGATGTTATTCAACATCATCATTTAGTATTTATGCAATTAAGGTAAATTACAAGTCACAAATAATCTGTAAGCAACTATTCATAGCCACGATTCCATAGATGTGGTGAGTAAACCGATGGCCATTCCTCAGTAAAACACAAGAATTTCCATCATGCATAGTTTATAGGCCCCTTTAAGAAGCAGTCTCTTTTAGAGGCTGGATGTTCAGCAAACATTCAAACAGTTCAACAGTTAAATACTGGCAAGTCTTACACAAAGGCTTAGTTTTGCTATTTAACCACCCTAACACAACATATTTATACTCTAACTAAAAGAAGAATAAACATTGCATGAAAAATACAACCCTATGAAATTCATTAGTAATTACTACACCCTTTTGTCAGTTAAGAACCATTTTTCTTGGGTTTCAAACATTTTATTTTCTTTCGGGGCATAGCTTATAACATTTTATCATAGGAATCAAAGAATATAACCAAAAAAACCAAAACATCACTCCCCCCAAAAACCTCACTTTTCTGGAAGACCACTTCTATTCCTTATCTGAAATAGCAAATAAATGAAACTATACAATTTCCATATTAAATACAAGTTAGTACATTAATTCCTCCAGGTAGTGTTGCATATGAGCTAGTTTTGCTCCAACTATTTAAATCACTGTAATTTGAGATATTCCCAGATGTAACCACAAACACTAGATTCAGATATTACTACCTAGGCAAGGAAAAATAATCACCAGCAAATACATGAATCGGGGTCATAGATATAATTTCAAATGCCCTTTAGACAAACCTTAGAGGAGGTAGGCAGGAAAACTAACGTCTGAATTGCACTGTCCCTACCAGGAACCGTATCACATATGCAGAACTCCAACACTCTTAGTAAAATGTGAAAGGATCTATATATACTGTTTGTTTAGCAAAACATTTTTATGTACAGGAGCCTAAATATCTTAGGAGGTTTAGATTACCAATGAAGAGAACTGCCAAGTCAATTCCTCAAGGCTGTTTTCTTTTGAGAATTCAAAACCAGCCCTCTGCCTTGGGCGCATCCCTCCTAGACAAATGTGCAGGAAAAAAAAAATGCCAGAAAATACGAAACATGGACCATAATTACGCATTCTTAACTTCTGTTCTTCAACTTAATAATGTTTTATGGTGCTTCATATTTTCAATCCGGAGTTTTCACACTTAAAAAAGGGAATTATCGTAAGACTGGGATTAGAGATCTGCTTATTTTGAAGCCGTGTGAACGTTTCTTTCCGTTTATTAGTGGCTAGAAAAAAATAAACCACCCCACCCCTAATTTATTTTTTTTTATTAGAGTTGACAACTGAAAACAAAATCAGAAGGGCAAACCCAAATCCCCAATACAAGCAATACAAAAAAGAAAAAAAAGTCCACTTAAGACATCCTTAACACAAAATACAGGTATAATATACTCTGCAGCATGTTTTCTTTATTGTATTTCTCAGTTGTAGCTCTTTAATTAAGAAATTGGAGACCATCTTTTCGTTAAATTGTTATTCCTTCCTACTTCCCTAACTTAGGGACAGGTTGAAAAAGGCTTAATTTGTACAAGTTGTTAGGAAATTAAAATTCCATTTTTATATGTTTTAAGTGTTTATAAAGCACTCAAAATTATAGCTTACATGTGTGACTTCAGAAAATAAAGTAAAACTTTTTAACACAATCTTTCTGTTTGGTAAATAAATTCTACATACATGCACATAATCAAAACGAACTTTTCTTGTTTGGGAAACTGCCTATGCAAAGTTTTTTTCTTTTAAGCCAATTACATCAGTATTTCCAATGTTAAGATAGTGGGGTGCCACCCAGTGTTCAATTTCTGTAACTACTATACATTCAAAATTTCTATTAAAACCCAGGTTCTAAAAACTACATTTTGGAGATATTTTTTCCTTGATATGTTCATGGTGGCAAAATAAGATCATGAAAAGAATGTACATGGTATCAAAATTAGTACAAAAATAAGCCACATGCTACTTAAACACAGACCTATCATTTTTTTACTTCAAATGCAGATTTCTGCCTCTTTCAAATTCTATAAAAATCTCAAGGAGCATCTAGGTAACTAATATACAGAGGGACTCTGTACAGTCAACAGACTAATCCAAACTAGGGCTTAATCCTAGTCCATAATGAATACAAGGCAAATGGTTTATTCAAAACATCTATTTACTTACTGGAAGTTGGAAGTAATCAAGGTAGGAAAGGCAATAATGCATTGTTTTCTTTTTTAAACAGTAGATATGGTCTTCTATTCATAAGCTCCAGTATGTCAAAAGAACAATGTGGGTTTAAGATGTCAATTCAGTATTATCAGTTTTTAAAGAAACACAAATACCTCAGAAACAAATCAGTCTTTAACAAATTGCATTCATGCTAATGAAATTTTAATCTTCCTTAAGGGTCATGGCCAAAATCCAAACTGCAGGACAATCTTCAGAAAACTGGAATGTAAAATCTTGTTCAATTTAGATCTGGAAGAGAAAGGAATATCATGTCAAAGGGAAAAAAATTTGTATATTTCAACAGCCATCCAAGAAGACTTTGACCTCCTTGGGCTATCTGGAAACAAATTCAATTTGAAGAGGAAATTCCTCACATCAGGTTTTTCTCAATTTGGGCCTGCTGACCATAAATCTTTATGATCTCCTTTATAATGTTCTATGCTATGCAGAATATAATAAAGTTCAGTATCTGCATCCATCCTTTTGTGCTAGTAATTTGGTACATTTTGGGAATGGAAGCAAACATACAAAAAGCATTATTCACTAAGAAAGGGACAAGTGGGGCTGGCAGGTGGTGTAGTGGTTAAGGGCTCTGGACTCCCCACATGCCAACTGTGGTTCAAGTCCTCGACTTGGCGGCTTGCTTTCCTTCTCTCTCTCTCGCTCACTCTGTCCCTCTCTGGTCAAATTAAAATAAATAAATTTGAATAAAATAATTCTTTTTTAAAAAAAGAAGAAAGGAACGAGTGGGATATGACCTAACTGCCGAGTCAATCTATCAATAGTTGTAGGAATGATGGCTTGCTTGCACCTATAAACCTTCGGGAGAAATGCCTAGGGGAAGGGACCAGCAGTTGGTGTAATGGCTATGTCGCTGGACTCCCATGTAGTCGACCACGGTTCGAATCCCGGACCTGGTGGCTTGTGGCTTAAACCCACGTGCGTGCGTGCCCAAGATCCCGAGAGGAGAATGGCGGAGAAGGGATTGTGGCGTGGCCATCCCCCTGGGGGGTGATTTCTCGCTTTCTATCTCTCTGTCTGTCTGGCGAGTGCACGTGCCCTATAGCGAAACCTCTTCAAAAAAAAAAAAAAAAAAAAAAAAAAAAAGCCTAGGGGAAGAAGTAGGGTTCTTGAATAACAGAGCAAACTTTTATCAAATACTAAAGGGAACTCAAATTCCTTTAATAACCAACATTTTTACCATCACTTTCTGTAACATGCTGCTTGGGCCCAGTTTTGAGGTATCACTGGCTCAATAAAATCTTAACCCTGTCTAGATCTTCAATCTATCATCTCAGTGCCTGTGGCTTCACATTCATGCATATTCTGATTAGATTCCTAAACTTTCTTTAAAAAAAAAAAAAAAAAATTTTTTTCATTCATTCATCTTAATTTGACCAGAAAGAGACATATGAGGGTGGGGGAAAGGGTGAGAAAGCAAGCCACCAGATCTAGCAGCTTAACCAGCACATCACCTGCTGGTCCCAGTTCCTTAATATTCAGATAAGCCTTTAATCTGTAATGCACAAAATGCATGTCAGGTTCTTGTCACAGAAGTTTTAATTCTACCATCAAAAAGTGTTTGTGAGGGAACCAGCAGTTAGCGTAATGGCTGTCGCTGGACTCCCACATAGTCGACCAAGGTTCGCGTCCCAGACCCGGTGGCTTAAAACTCACGCCGGGCGTGTGTGCGTGCGTGCCCAAGATCCAGAGAGGAGAATGGAGGAGAAGGGATTGCGGTGTGACCATCCCCCCTGGGGGGGTGATTTCTCGCTTCCTGTCTCTATGTCTTTCTCTGTTTGTCTGGCGAGCGCCAGGTGCCCTATAGTGAAAATCTCTCCCAAAAAAAAAAAAAAAAAAAAAAAGGTTTTGAGGATCTACTGAAGAAGACTATTCAAAGCGACTAGAAGAAGCAACTCATGGAACCTACAGATGGGGTAATGGTTACATTGCTGGACTCTCACATGGTTGATGGCGGTTCGTGTCCCAGACTCACTGGCTTAAAACTCAAGCCAGGTGTATATGCGTGAATGCCCAAAATCCCAAGAGGAGAATGGAGGAGAAGGGGGGTGATTTCTTGCTTGCGGTCTCTCTGTCTCTGTCTGGCGAGCACATGCGCCCTATAGCAAAACCCTCTCCAAAAAATAAAAGTGTTTCTTTTGTCTTAGCTCAGGGTCTCCAAAGGGATATGCATTAAGAAAATAATACAGGGGATAGTGTGTGGAACAGTGGTTAAGGCAATGGACCCCCACATGGTTGACTGGTGGCTTAAAACTCATGCTGCACTTGTGTGCGTGCCCAAAATCCTGAGAGAATGGAGGAGAAAGGATTGTGGTGCGGTCATACCCTGGGGAAGATTTCTCACTTTCTGTCTCTTGGTCTCTCCAGCAAGTACACATGCCCTACAGCAAAAATCTCTCAAAAGGGAAAATAAGGGACCAGCAGTTAGCGTAACGGTTATGTCGCTGGACTCTCACGTAGTTGACTGTGGTTCGAGTCCCGGAGCCAGTGACTTAAACTCACGGTGGGCCCATGTGCGTGCATGCCCAAGATCCTGAGAGAATGGAGAAGGGATTGCGGCGTGGCCATCCCCCTTGGGGGTGATTTCTCGCTTTCTCTCTGTCTCTGTCTACCTGGTGAGTGCATGCACCCTATAGCAAAAACCTCTCAAAAAAAAAAAAAATTTATTTCTCATTTTTCCTTTTCTTTTTTTGGGTATGCTTTTTAAAATACATGACATTAGCAGAACAGTACTACAGTCATATATCACTTAATAATGGGAACACACTCTGAGCAATGCACTGTTTGTGATTTCATCCTTGTATGAGCACCATAAAGTGTACTTACACAAACCTAGATGTATATCCTATTATATACCTACGCTCTATGATACAGCCTATACACTCCTCATGGGATCACTGTTGTGCATGTGTCCATCACAGGTCAAAATGTCTTATGTAGGACATGATTGTCTACATATGCTTAAAAATTCATAAATGCATATAAATCTAGGGAGTACACTAAAATTTTAAATTCATGGTGTGAGTATTCTAAATAATTTGAAAAGACATCAAAATATAAAATGACCTGAAGGATGAATGGAAGGATAAGTGATAAATCAAGTATTTAAAAAAATGCTAATTGAAGAATCTCAGTAGTGGGTATCACTTGTGGTGCCTAAATCACATTTCTTAGGACTGGTCCTTATATTTTTGAAAAGCTCTGGTAATTCTATTGTGCAATATTGGTCAAGAACAATTGCCCTAGACATTCTGAAATTTCATCACTGAATCAAATTAAACATTATTATTTCTGGATTTATACCTACAGGTGGTTTCTGAGCTACATTTTATGTAAAGGGTTGAAACAAAAAACTCAAACCAAATTTAAGAGACACTTATGATATCCAAATTACTAAGTACATTTACATTGTCAAAAGAACAAGTCTGGATGCCGTAACGGTTATGTCGCTGGACTCTCACGTAGTTGACTGTGGTTCGAGTCCCGGAGCCAGTGACTTAAACTCACGGTGGGCCCATGTGCGTGCATGCCCAAGATCCTGAGAGAATGGAGAAGGGATTGCGGCGTGGCCATCCCCCTTGGGGGTGATTTCTCGCTTTCTCTCTGTCTCTGTCTACCTGGTGAGTGCATGCACCCTATAGCAAAAACCTCTCAAAAAAACAAAAAAATTTATTTCTCATTTTTCCTTTTCTTTTTTTGGGTATGCTTTTTAAAATACATGACATTAGCAGAACAGTACTACAGTCATATATCACTTAATAATGGGAACACACTCTGAGCAATGCACTGTTTGTGATTTCATCCTTGTATGAGCACCATAAAGTGTACTTACACAAACCTAGATGTATATCCTATTATATACCTACGCTCTATGATACAGCCTATACACTCCTCATGGGATCACTGTTGTGCATGTGTCCATCACAGGTCAAAATGTCTTATGTAGGACATGATTGTCTACATATGCTTAAAAATTCATAAATGCATATAAATCTAGGGAGTACACTAAAATTTTAAATTCATGGTGTGAGTATTCTAAATAATTTGAAAAGACATCAAAATATAAAATGACCTGAAGGATGAATGGAAGGATAAGTGATAAATCAAGTATTTAAAAAAATGCTAATTGAAGAATCTCAGTAGTGGGTATCACTTGTGGTGCCTAAATCACATTTCTTAGGACTGGTCCTTATATTTTTGAAAAGCTCTGGTAATTCTATTGTGAAATGTTGGTCAAGAACAATTGCCCTAGACATTCTGAAATTTCATCACTGAATCAAATTAAACATTATTATTTCTGGATTTATACCTACAGGTGGTTTCTGAGCTACATTTTATGTAAAGGGTTGAAACAAAAAACTCAAACCAAATTTAAGAGACACTTATGATATCCAAATTACTAAGTACATTTACATTGTCAAAAGAACAAGTCTGGATGCCAGCAGGTGGCATGGTGGTTAAGGTGCTAGACTGCCACTGCCCAACTGCAGTTCGAGTCTCGGACCTGGTAGCCTACTTTCTCTGTCATGCTGGTGAGCACTTGTGCCCTACAGCAAATTAAAAAATAATAAGGGACCAGCAGATGGCCTAATGGCTACATCATTGGACTCCCATAGAGTCTACTGTAGTTTGAGTCCTGGACCTGGCAGCTTAAACTCAGGCCAGGCACATGTGTATGGACGTCCAAAATCCCAAGAGGAGAATGGAGATGGAACTGCTGTGTGACCTTCTCCCCACCCCCGAGGTGACTTCTTGCTTCCTGTCTCTTTGTCTCTGTCTCTCCAGGTGAGCATATGCTCCCTTTAGCAAAAATCTATCTCTCAAATAAATAAATAAAAATTAAATAAATAATTATTTAAAAGGAACAAATTTGAATTTTATTCAAATGTAGTGTAATAGCAGAACCGTAGTAAGGAATTTACAGTTATGGGCATTACTGTTTTATTAATAATAAAATACATAATTGGTAACAGGCCTCCATTTTAAACAAGGTTTTTCAGTGTAGGCTGTAACTCTAATACTTCATATCCAGTTGGTTCAAACAAGACTGAACTTACTAATATTAATAATATTTTCAACCAAGAAGGCATGTTTCCTTTGATAACACTGTGTATTTTCAATCGTCTACTAAATTTCTTAAGAGCTATCTCTTGAGACAATTAATCAAGTTATGATTAGAGTGCACGACATTCATACTGCCAAAGAAAATACTCTTTTCAAGAAACATTAAAGAATTTTAAGAATCCTCAAACTATAAACAGCTTGACCAGTTGTCTCCTACACAATACTGAGTATTTTAATTCATGAACAAATATCAAAATATACCCTTATTTAAGTATACCACATTTTTAGAATTAAAGGAAGTTAGAAAAAAGACCTGGTCTCTGTGGATAATTCATAAACAAAACCCAGAAAACTCAAGGTTGTATCTACTTACATCATCGATGTCTTCGTCATCATCTCCAATGTCATCAAACTGAATTTCATCATCATCTCCAGGACCAAATGTATCAGTTTCATTGATTTTAGCTAAAGACACAATAACAAATATACTCGTATAATCAAGATGTTATTAAAATGAGTAACTGCCCACTAAAAAAAAAAGTGGGTGTGACATCAAATACTGAACTATAAAAGGAAGTTCTTACAAACCATCCTGGGGATTTAATTCAAAGTTTCACCAACAAAAAAGTCTTCCTAACATCTAAGGACCCTACTATTCAGACCAATATTGTATACAACTGAATGCTTTGTTCACAAAGGCTGTATTTAAGTTAGGCTCTAACTACAGTACTTCTTAAAGCTACAACAACTTTCAAGAATGCTCCAAGAAGGGTTGGAACACATTCTAATAACTTATTTCCTTGGGATGAGAAGAGCTGGTTCATTAATCATCAGAAAGACTCATTAACTAGAAAGATTTGGTCAAATCATTCCAATCCATAAATAACATAAACCAGGAAGTGCTAGTCCCATTCCCAGATATACAGATAAAAGGGCCAACTCTGGTGCAGCAGTAATGTGATGCTCAAGAAAAGCTGGATCCCACATGACAGCTGATTTGAATCCCTAGTCCTGTCAGCCTTAAGCATGTAGGGCACACTCCCAAGTGACTAAGATCAAATGGGCTGGAAGACTGGAGGAAGCAGACTTGGGCATGACCAGATCCTGTGGTAGAGGGTGCGCATACTTACCTACCTACCTACGTACTTCCCCCCTCCTCTCTCCCATATGTACACATATGCAATCTATCTGAATAAAAAACAAAAACAAAACAAAAAACAACAAAAAAAAAGAAGTTCATGGAAAAATGAAATTAAAGAACCAGTTCATATTGGTATAACAAAGTCTTTAAAATCCATGGATAACTTTTTCATAATAGCATTTTCCATGAACTTATTGAAGACTCCCTGTACTTGCATTTTCTGGTTTGGTGATATCAAGTAAAAACTTGCAGCCCAGCCCAGCTGCCATGGTAGAGTGGTAATGCTAGCAATCTATAGTGCTGGAAGCCACATGGCAACTGTGGTTCGGATCCTGGGTGAGCCTGAAACACACAGGCTGTGTACAAGCATCCAGGATCCTGCAGAGCTGGAGGGCTGAGGAAAGGGGAACCCAGTGTGACATGATCCTAGTAAGGGTGCTTTCTCTCACATGAGCGTGCAAATGTTTTCTATCATAAAAAACAAAACCAAAAAACCCACATAACTTTTGGCAGGATTTAAGCTTAATTATATCGTTTTTATAAAATATAATGGCGCTCAAAATGAAAATAACTGCCAAATGAAAATGCAGGCTTATGAGATAGTATGTCAAGTATATTTTCTCTTTGATGAAGTTATAACAGACTTATCTCTAAGTTTTCTGCATTAAAAAAATGCATCGTTTTTTTGGAGGGAAACAAAGAATGTTGGTTTAAAAAAGTCTGCAGGACACAATACAAGAATTCGGTGGGTTGACTTTTTGATAAAACTCAACAGTACCTAATTATCATCTTCACATTTTATATAAATAAACACAACAGTCTCTTGAAGAAATTTTTGAATAAATACAGTAACAAAACTTCTTTGACTGGCATTAGGTAGAAGCCCAGGGCTCATGGTATATCTCCAAAAATGTATTTATTTGGAACAGAATTCTGGTAACTTCTTTCCTACAGTATCTAAGTATTATGAAATATAATCAGGCATACTTAAAACGAATCAATTAGGCACAAAAGTAAACACACAAAATTCTACCAAAATTCCTTTACCTAAACACTAACAGATAACCTAAATGCCGTATGACAACTAACAATTTGGACACTTATCAATGTGGTGATATGATGCTCTCCCAGGCTGGGCCTAAGTTGGACAAGGGGAAAAAACTAAATACCCAGATATTACCATGCTCAGGAAGCTCTCCATATGCCTTCAGACTCCTGGCTTCATCTGCATTGTATTTTAAAATCACATCGGCTTTGTTATCCTTAGAGAAAAAGTTAACTTTTAGAATTGATTATGCCAAAATATTATCAGTTATTTTGTAAAATTTTTTTCCGACTGAAAAGTTAAATTTCACTTTTTAAAAAACCCTTCTCCCTTTTCTTAAATTCTAAAGTTTTCTCACACCCTCTGAGAAACATTCATGAGTTTAACCCAATGGAAGATTACATACATAACTTAAGAAAGATACTTGCCAATCTCACTTGGCTAGGAGCCAAACTGTCCAGACTCAATCTTTTAGATTATTCACTATTACTCTCATTAGGAGTCCTGGACCTGGCAGCTTAAACTCAGGCCAGGCACATGTGTATGGACGTCCAAAATCCCAAGAGGAGAATGGAGATGGAACTGCTGTGTGACCTTCTCCCCACCCCCGAGGTGACTTCTTGCTTCCTGTCTCTTTGTCTCTGTCTCTCCAGGTGAGCATATGCTCCCTTTAGCAAAAATCTATCTCTCAAATAAATAAATAAAAATTAAATAAATAATTATTTAAAAGGAACAAATTTGAATTTTATTCAAATGTAGTGTAATAGCAGAACCGTAGTAAGGAATTTACAGTTATGGGCATTACTGTTTTATTAATAATAAAATACATAATTGGTAACAGGCCTCCATTTTAAACAAGGTTTTTCAGTGTAGGCTGTAACTCTAATACTTCATATCCAGTTGGTTCAAACAAGACTGAACTTACTAATATTAATAATATTTTCAACCAAGAAGGCATGTTTCCTTTGATAACACTGTGTATTTTCAATCGTCTACTAAATTTCTTAAGAGCTATCTCTTGAGACAATTAATCAAGTTATGATTAGAGTGCACGACATTCATACTGCCAAAGAAAATACTCTTTTCAAGAAACATTAAAGAATTTTAAGAATCCTCAAAATAAAAACAGCTTGACCAGTTGTCTCCTACACAATACTGAGTATTTTAATTCATGAACAAATATCAAAATATACCCTTATTTAAGTATACCACATTTTTAGAATTAAAGGAAGTTAGAAAAAAGACCTGGTCTCTGTGGATAATTCATAAACAAAACCCAGAAAACTCAAGGTTGTATCTACTTACATCATCGATGTCTTCGTCATCATCTCCAATGTCATCAAACTGAATTTCATCATCATCTCCAGGACCAAATGTATCAGTTTCATTGATTTTAGCTAAAGACACAATAACAAATATACTCGTATAATCAAGATGTTATTAAAATGAGTAACTGCCCACTAAAAAAAAAAGTGGGTGTGACATCAAATACTGAACTATAAAAGGAAGTTCTTACAAACCATCCTGGGGATTTAATTCAAAGTTTCACCAACAAAAAAGTCTTCCTAACATCTAAGGACCCTACTATTCAGACCAATATTGTATACAACTGAATGCTTTGTTCACAAAGGCTGTATTTAAGTTAGGCTCTAACTACAGTACTTCTTAAAGCTACAACAACTTTCAAGAATGCTCCAAGAAGGGTTGGAACACATTCTAATAACTTATTTCCTTGGGATGAGAAGAGCTGGTTCATTAATCATCAGAAAGACTCATTAACTAGAAAGATTTGGTCAAATCATTCCAATCCATAAATAACATAAACCAGGAAGTGCTAGTCCCATTCCCAGATATACAGATAAAAGGGCCAACTCTGGTGCAGCAGTAATGTGATGCTCAAGAAAAGCTGGATCCCACATGACAGCTGATTTGAATCCCTAGTCCTGTCAGCCTTAAGCATGTAGGGCACACTCCCAAGTGACTAAGATCAAATGGGCTGGAAGACTGGAGGAAGCAGACTTGGGCATGACCAGATCCTGTGGTAGAGGGTGCGCATACTTACCTACCTACCTACGTACTTCCCCCCTCCTCTCTCCCATATGTACACATATGCAATCTATCTGAATAAAAAACAAAAACAAAACAAAAAACAACAAAAAAAAAGAAGTTCATGGAAAAATGAAATTAAAGAACCAGTTCATATTGGTATAACAAAGTCTTTAAAATCCATGGATAACTTTTTCATAATAGCATTTTCCATGAACTTATTGAAGACTCCCTGTACTTGCATTTTCTGGTTTGGTGATATCAAGTAAAAACTTGCAGCCCAGCCCAGCTGCCATGGTAGAGTGGTAATGCTAGCAATCTATAGTGCTGGAAGCCACATGGCAACTGTGGTTCGGATCCTGGGTGAGCCTGAAACACACAGGCTGTGTACAAGCATCCAGGATCCTGCAGAGCTGGAGGGCTGAGGAAAGGGGAACCCAGTGTGACATGATCCTAGTAAGGGTGCTTTCTCTCACATGAGCGTGCAAATGTTTTCTATCATAAAAAACAAAACCAAAAAACCCACATAACTTTTGGCAGGATTTAAGCTTAATTATATCGTTTTTATAAAATATAATGGCGCTCAAAATGAAAATAACTGCCAAATGAAAATGCAGGCTTATGAGATAGTATGTCAAGTATATTTTCTCTTTGATGAAGTTATAACAGACTTATCTCTAAGTTTTCTGCATTAAAAAAATGCATCGTTTTTTTGGAGGGAAACAAAGAATGTTGGTTTAAAAAAGTCTGCAGGACACAATACAAGAATTCGGTGGGTTGACTTTTTGATAAAACTCAACAGTACCTAATTATCATCTTCACATTTTATATAAATAAACACAACAGTCTCTTGAAGAAATTTTTGAATAAATACAGTAACAAAACTTCTTTGACTGGCATTAGGTAGAAGCCCAGGGCTCATGGTATATCTCCAAAAATGTATTTATTTGGAACAGAATTCTGGTAACTTCTTTCCTACAGTATCTAAGTATTATGAAATATAATCAGGCATACTTAAAACGAATCAATTAGGCACAAAAGTAAACACACAAAATTCTACAAAAATTCCTTTACCTAAACACTAACAGATAACCTAAATGCCGTATGACAACTAACAATTTGGACACTTATCAATGTGGTGATATGATGCTCTCCCAGGCTGGGCCTAAGTTGGACAAGGGGAAAAAACTAAATACCCAGATATTACCATGCTCAGGAAGCTCTCCATATGCCTTCAGACTCCTGGCTTCATCTGCATTGTATTTTAAAATCACATCGGCTTTGTTATCCTTAGAGAAAAAGTTAACTTTTAGAATTGATTATGCCAAAATATTATCAGTTATTTTGTAAAATTTTTTTCCGACTGAAAAGTTAAATTTCACTTTTTAAAAAACCCTTCTCCCTTTTCTTAAATTCTAAAGTTTTCTCACACCCTCTGAGAAACATTCATGAGTTTAACCCAATGGAAGATTACATACATAACTTAAGAAAGATACTTGCCAATCTCACTTGGCTAGGAGCCAAACTGTCCAGACTCAATCTTTTAGATTATTCACTATTACTCTCATTAGAAATATTCTGAAATACAAAAATTCTCTGGGACCCATTTTTTTTTTTTAAGAGATTTGTTTGCTATAAGGTAGGGTATGTGCACTTGCTGGAGAGACAGAGAGAGAGAAATTACCCCCTAGGGGGATAGCCATGCTACAATCCCTTCTCCTCCATTCATCTCTTGGGATTTTGGGCATGTATGCACATGCCCCTGGCGTGAGTTTTAAGCCACAGGGTCTGGGACTTGAGCCACAGCCAACTACGTGAGTGTCCAGTAACATAACCATTATACCATCTGCTGGTCCTGGGATCCCAATTTTCAATGTAATCCAAACACACAGTAAACTCAGCTCTGTGGCACAGCAGTAATGAGCTGCTATGGGGAAGTGGGATCCCAATGGCAACTGTGCACCTTAAAACACACCAGATTTGTGTCTGAGTGTTCAGGATTTGTCTGGCTGGCTGGAGGAAGGAGATTCTGGGTTGTGACCTGATTCTATGGAGGGTGCTCTTCTCTCACAAGTGTGGGCACATATGCCATGTCATAAATAAAGGAAAAATATGTTAAGAAAGCTGACGGGACCAGCAGTTAGCGTAATGGCTATGTTGCTGGACTCCCACGTAGTCGACCATGGTTCAAGTCCCAGATCCGGTGGCTTAAAACTCACTCTGGGCGCGTGTGCATGCGTGCCCAAGATCCCGAGAGGAGAAGGGATTGTGGCGTGGCCATCCCTCCTGGGGGGTGATTTTTCGCTTTCTGTGTCTCTGTCTGGCAAGCGCACGCACCCTATAGCAAACCCCGCCCCCCAAAAGAAAGCTGAGACTGGTATTACAGCCTAAATTGATAAATTTTTCTATCTATCTGCGTTTCATGAGGCATGTTCTCTATTAGAATTTCCCATTTTCACATCTCTTGAAAACAGGTAAAAAGATCAAAGGTGAAGCCCAAATATTTGTATTTTTAAAAGTTCTTGGGGGTGGGGGCAGCATTTGTTGTGGTGGTTAAGGCGCTGTACTCCCACATGGCCCACTGTAGTTCAAATCCCAGACCTGACAGTTTGAAAAATCATGCTGGGTGGTGTGTATACTTGCATGTCCAAAATCCTGAAAGGAGAATGGATAAGGGACTGTGGTGTGGCCAGCCCCGCAGTGGGTGATTTCTCACTTTCCCTTTCACTAGCTCTGTCTCTCAGGTGAGCACCCGCACTCTATGGCAAATAAATACATACATACACACATACGTACATACATACATAAATAAAGTTAGTTCTCTGGGTGTTTTTTGGTGTAAACATTCTGCTGAGAAAAACAGTTCACCTTTGAACACGGGTCTAAGATATGCAGACCCCCTGATACACAGGCATTTTTTAGCAAATATAATGGGAACAGCACAGTACTGCAAATGCATTTCTCTTCCTTAGGACTTTCCTAATAACATTGCTTTCCCCAGTTTATCATAAGAACACAGTATCTAATACATAATCTATAAAACAACTGTTAATTGTTTATACTATTAGTAAGGCTGGTAGTTAATAGCAGGTTACTAGTTATTAAGTTTTTGAGGAATTAAAAGTTATAAATGGTAGGTCAGTCAGTAGTGTAGTGGTTAAGGTCCTGGATCCAGCAGATTGAAAAACACGCCAGATGCACATACGTGTGTACCCAAAATCCCAAGAGGAAAATGGACAAGAAGGGACTGTAACATAGCCATCCTCTTGCAGATGTATGTATGTATGTGTTTTAAGTCTCACTTTCCCTCTTTCTCTCCCTGGTAAGTGCATGCAACCTATGGCAGAACTAAAAAAAAAGTTTTATGTGGATTTTTAACTGCCTGTGAGGGTCAGTATCCCAAACTCCCACATTAATCAAGGGTCAGCTGTATTGTCTTAGAATGTTTATACACTTCCCCATTTGAAAAGAACCCCATTTGGTTAAGGGAGAAAACCAATTGCTTCAACTTCACAGGCAATGTGTTCAAAGTAGCACTTCTTAACTGCTAAGTATATACAGAAACTCATGGAGCTCTTCTTAAGATGCATATTCTGTCTGACTGAGAAAGTGTGGAGTAGAGTGTTAGAATCTGCGCTTTAACAAGCTCCCAGAAGACAGCAATGCTACTGATCTCTGGACTACCCTTTAAGTGGCAGGGGCATAGATGAAAGACCATGAGAGATTAGGATTCAAGAATTGGTCCTGGTTGTCACTTTATAGCCAGAATATCATTCCTTTTAGAATCCTGGAATCCTTATCTGTCAAATAGAGACTTAATTATTCCTATTTCTGGCATAACTAATTCTTCCTACTTTTGGGTCATCGTTAGATCAAAACATGATGATAGACATTAAAATGGTATGAATAGGGCTAGCAGGTGGCATGGTGGTTAGGTGCTGAACTCTTACATGGCTGACCATGGTTCATGGTTCAAGTACTAGACCCAGGAGCTTGAAAATCATGCTAAGAGGCAGCAGGTGGTGTGGTTGTCCTGGACCTGGCAGGTTGCTTTTTTACTTTTTCTCTCTGTGTCTCTCGCTGGTGAGCGTGTATGCCCTGTGGCAAATTTGGGGGGGAAAATCAGTAATAGGAATAATGATAAATTAAAAAAAAACCCCAAAACAGAAAATCATGTTGAGCACATGTCTGTGCATGCCCCCAAATCCCTAGAGAATGGAGAAGAGATTTGCAGAGTTGCCATACCCCCTGGGGGTGATTTCTCACTTTTCCTCTCTCCGTCTCTCTCCAGTGAGTGCACGTGCCTTATGGCAAAAACCTTAAAAAAATATATTGATATGAACATACCAGCTTTTTCCACATTGGTACTACTGATTATTTTGAGATGGACACTTACTGGGTGCTGTCCTGTACACTGTAGCCATCACTTCTGGCCTTAATCTACTATATGCCGGTAGCATGGCACCCCTCCCCCAGGTGTGAAAATCAGTGAGTTAAAGTGAAGATTTTAATCCTTATTCTGAAATACATGTAATTTTTAAAAAATCAAATTATAATCAAGACTATAAAAAGAGATATTGTTGGGGGCTAGCAGACAGCACAGAGGTTAAACATGGTTGGATCCTGCATGGCCGACTGTGCAGTTTTGAGTCCCTCGACCTGGTGGCTTAAAAAAACACTCTGGATGTGTGTACATGCCTGAATGGAGAAGGGACTGTAGCGTGGCCACCCGCTCCATCCGAGGGGTGATTTTCCACTTTCCCTCTCTGTCTCTCTCCTGTGAGCACGCAGGCCTAGCAAAAATGGGGGTGGGAGGGTAGGGAGATTGACACAATTGTAACAATTGAGTTACAATAAGTGGAAATCAAATGGATTTCACAGACCCACAGTGAGTATGGAGATCTTGAAGGGCACTTACCATTCTTTCCTAAGTATTCATTCAACTGATAGCACATACTTACGTCATTATGTGTACTGTAATTACTTGTTTGCCTGTCTAATTCTTTTCACTACCAGGCTATGAACCTTTTGTGGGATAAAATCTTGGCTTATTTAGCTGTATCCCTTACAAGTAATAGTTCCCAGATTTTTTTTTTTTTTTGGGGGGGGGGGGGTTTTTTTTTTTTTTTTTTTTTGCTATAGGGCGCATGGGCTCAACAGACCCCCAGGGGGAGGTCCATGCCTCAATCCCTTCTCCTCCATTCTCCTCTCGGGATCTTGGGCATGCATGCACATGGGCCCGGCGTTAGTTTTAAGCCACCGGGTCCGGGACGCATACCACGGTCGACTACATGGGAGTCCAGTGACATAGCCATTACGCTAACTGCTGGTCCCTTCTAGTTCCCAGATTTTGATTTGAAAAACTTCGAAAAAAATTAGAGGTCCAACATGTGTTATTTTTATTTTGCTAACTAAAAATACAAATAAAACCACTACTATATAATATCAATCATTCCTAAAAAAGGGTAACTTTAAACACTAACTAAAAAGGAAAAAGGACCATTTAGCTTCATAAAAACTTCATATATTGGGACCATCAGGTAGTGTGGTGGTTAAGGTGCTGGACACTCTCACATGGCTGACCATGGTTTGAGTCTCAGACCTGGTGGCTTGTTTTCTCACCTTCTCTATCTCTCTCTGTTCAAATTAAAAATAAATGAATGAATAGTTAAATAAATTCTTAAAAAAACAAACAAAACTTCACATATTGAATCTACAAACTGGTATTTAGGAACCACAATCCCTGGAATATCTAGCACTATGCCTAAATCACAACTGGCTCATCGAATTCAAGCACGTAACCAATAAATAAGTTAATTTTTACCTGATAGTCTCGGAGACCAACCAATATAATGTCTGAGGTATTTATCCAAACCTATAAAAGAAAAGTCACTCCATGTTATATTTAAAGGTCAAGAACAAAAACAAAACCTCCAGATGTATGGGCATGCCCAAATCCCAATGAGATGGAGAAATGTAGAGGGATCATGGCATAATCATCATGCCCCACCGGGGTTGCTTTCTCCCTTTCCCTTTCTCTTGAGTGCATGTGCTCTTTGGTAAATTGAAAGAGAGAGGAATTTAAGAGATTTTTTATTGTGAACCACTTCAAGAAGTTAGTTATCAATTACATGAGAATACAAAAAGTGGGCTTATCTCTTTTCCTCTTTTCTGTCTTCCACTTACCCACCCAGACAAAGCTCCAAAAACCCCTTTGGAATGATCAACACACCAAATAAAAAGGGGGACCTCCCCCAAAAGTCAGAGCTGGGACTTTTAACCAATCTAATTAATCAATCAGCCTGAGTACCTACTGTAAAGATGAATCGATCATTAATTTTCAAAGCCCTCCAATCGTGATCATATTCAGGAAATTTAACAGGAGACTTATTTAGCATAATTCATATTCACATTTTTAAAATACTCTTTAAAACAATTCCCTCAGCCTCTAAGCTGGCATCCAAACAAGGGCAGCATCCTACAATGAACTATCAGGTCTAAGTCTTGAAATTCAAATTTGAGGGGGAGGAAGTGTTTTCCTTTCACAACATTAATATTTTAAGAGTAGGGCTCCCTGTTTTGTAGAATGTCCCCTAATTTGGATTTGCTGTTCCTTATGATTTAGATTTTGGCTAAACATTTTGGGCAGGGAACAACACAAGTGATGCAAATGATTCTTTTTTTTTTTTTTTTGAGAGATTTTCACTATAGGGCGCGTGTGCTCACCAGACAGAGAAAGACAGAAAGCGAGAAATCACCCCCCAGGGGGGATGGTCACACCGCAATCCCTTCTCCTCCATTCTCTTCTCGGGATCTTGGGCATGCACGCACACACGCCAGGCGTGAGTTTTAAGCCACCGGGTCCGGGACGTGAACCGCAGTCAACTACGTGGGAGTACAGTGACATAGCCATTATGCTAACTGCTGGTTCCCACAAATGATTCTTTATACAGCAAAATTTTTATGAAATTATTAAGGAATCTCTTCTTTGACTTTCAGGTAAACTACTGTTTACCTAATGTATCTTTTGACAATTTATAAAATTAGGTCCTTGGGCTATAAAAATTGTTGATATTTTTTCCCTAACCAATTTTATATTAAAGTAAATCCCCACACTTACCTTTTTTCTCAACTTTCCTCTGATGTGACATAACCTCTTTACACCATCAAAACACATTGCTTCTAATCGTCCATTTCCCAACATTTTGATTACCTGAGCATATTCTTGTCCATCTTCTTTAAAGACTAGCTCTCTTTTTTCAGATTCATTCTCATTTTTACCTCTGCACCTATTTTTACCTCCTTTATCTTTATTCTTGGGCATGGCGGGGATGGCGGCCTCAAAGAGTCTCCGACTTGTCTCCAGGTGGCTCCAGCGGCTGTGGTGACCCCTCCGAAGGGTGACACAAGGGGGTAGAGGGCACATGTGCTCTGGGGGGAGGGAGGAAGTGAGAAAGCACTCTGCCTCGTGGTGGATGGTCAAACCACAATTCCTTCTCCATTTCTCCTTTCTTTTGGGGTCTTGGGGATGGACACACACATGCCTGGTATGTTTTTTTTTCAAGCTACTTGGCCCAGGACTCAACTGAATTGTGGTTGGTCCTGTGAGATCCAGCTGCCTTAACCACCAAGCCACAGGCTGGGCCTCTCTACTCCTTACTGCCCCCTTAA